CCACACGGTGACGGAGGAGGTGAGGATGGACTCGATGATGGCCGTGTAGAACTGCACCAACATCTGTGCAGGCAGCTTGGCTTTCCTGAGCTGCCGCAGGAAGTACATCTTCTGCTGGGCCTTCTTGATGAGGGAGCTGATGGTCGGCTCCCACTTGAGGTCCTGGGTGATGGTGGTGCCCAGGAAACGGAAGGACTCCACAGAGGTGATGGGGGAGTCCATCACGGAGGGTGGGGGCGGGGGGACAGGGCTCTTCCTGAAGTCCACAATCATCTCCACTGTCTTCTGGGCGTTCAGCTCCAGGTTGTTACCACTGCACCAGGACACCAGCCGGTCCACCTCCCTCCTGTAGGCGGACTCATCGTTGTTGGAGATGAGTCCAATGAGGGTGGTGTCGTCCGCGAACTTGATCAGCTTCACAGAGTCGTGGCTGGAGGTGCAGTGGTTGGTGTACAGGGAGAAGAGCAGGGGAGAAAGAACACAGCCCTGTGGGGCTCCTGTATTTATAATCCGAGAGTCCGAGACATTCTTCCCCAGACGCACTCGCTGCTTCCTGTCCGTCAGGAAGTCAGTGATCCACCTGCAGGTGGAATCGGGCACGTTGAGCTGGGAGAGCTTGTCCTGGAGCAGGGATGGCAGGATTGTGTTGAAGGCAGAGCTGAAGTCCACGAACAGGACCCTGGCGTAGGTTCCCGGGGAGTCCAGGTGCTATAGAATGTGGTGGAGGGCCAGGTTAATGGCGTCGTCTACAGATCTGTTGGCTCCGTAGGCGAACTGCAGGGGGTCCAGGAGGGGGGAGGTGAGGGACTTGAGATGGGAGAGAACCAGGCGTTCAAAAGACTTCATGACGACAGACGTAAGTGCTACAGGTCTGTAGTCATTGAGTCCTGTGATCCTGGGCTTCTTCGGGACGGGGACAATGATGGAGGATTTGAAGCAGGCCGGGACCTGGCAGGACTGCAGAGAGGTGTTGAAAATGTCCGTGAACACAGGAGTAAGCTCACTGGCGCAGTGTCTCAGAGTGGCCGGAGACACGTGGTCCGGGCCAGGAGCTTTGCGGGGGTGCAGCCTCAAGAAGAGTTGTTTAATGTCTTTAGAGGCTATTGTTAGGCTGGGGGCAGGGCTGATGGGTGGGCCGTTAGAGTAGTGGGGGGTGGGGGAGGGAGAGGTGTCAGGGGCAGCATCAAAGCGACTGAAAAATAAGTTCAGTTCGTCAGCTAGCTTGTGGTCGTCAGCACAGGGGGGGGCTTTGGGTTTGTAGTTGGTGATCTCCCGTAGGCCCCTCCAGACAGAAGCAGTATCGTTGTTACCAAACTGCTCCTGTAGTCGTTCTCTGTGCCGGGACTTGGCTGCTTTCAGTTCTTTCCTGAACTGATATTTAGCTGCTTTGTAGCCGCTGCGGTCCCCCTCCCTGAAAGCAGACTCCTTTGCTTTCCTGAGCTGCCGGAGTTTAGCAGTGAACCAGGGTTTGTCGTTGTTATAGATGACCCTGGTCCTTGTTGGAATGATGCTATCCTCGCAGAAGTGGATGTATGACGTCACATTGTCCGTATATTCATCCAAGCTGTCTGTGGCAGCTCTGAAAAGGTCCCAGTCTGTAGATTCCATGCATGCGCGCAGCTCTTCCACAGCTTCATCAGACCACACTTTGGAGCTCCTCACTGCAGGTTTCGAGAGCTTTAGTCTCTGTCTGTAAGCAGGAACCAGATGTATCATGGAGTGATCTGAGAAGCCGAGGGCTGGCTTGGGAACAGCGCGAAAAGCTCCGCGTACGGTGGTGTAACAGTGATCCAGAGTGTTCTCCTCTCTGGTCGGGCATTTGATAAACTGTCTGTATTTGGGTAATTCCTGGCTCAAGTTTCCCTTATTAAAATCCCCCAGGATAATAATCAGAGAGTCCGGGTATAAACGTTCCATACACAGTACTTGCTCTGCAAGTGCGCGCTGAGCCTCGCGCGCGTCCGCGCATGGCGGTATGTAAACAGAGGCAAGAATGAATGAAACAATTTCACGCGGGGAGTAATATGGTTTACAATGAATGAAAAGATATTCCAGAGCAGGAGAGCAGTGCTTGGAGATCACTGTCACATCGTTACACCAGTTTGTATTGACGTAGAAACACAGCCCACCGCCTCTGCTCTTCCCTGAGAGCGCACAATGGCGATCCGCGCGGAACAGCCCAAAGCCCTGCAGCTCCAGAGCGCAGTCCGGGATCCGCTCATTTAGCCAGGTCTCAGTGAAGCAGAGGACACAGGATGTGGCGAAGTCCTTGTTTCTTCTCATGAGCAGGCTGAGTTCGTCCATCTTATTGCCCAGTGAGCGTACGTTGGAGAGAAAAATGCCGGGGAGAGCCGTGCGCGCTCCTCTCCTCCTAAGACGCACGAGCAGGCCTCCGCGCTTTCCCCTTTTACGGGCCCACACTTTTTTGGCTAGAACATGAACTAAATCAGCCGCAGATGCCAAGAAAACAGGCAATAGGTCCATGGGAACGGTGGGTCGGATGTTCATAAGTTCCTCACGGGTGTAGGAACAGCCAGATGCACAGTTAAAACGTAAAAACAAAAGAAAAAGAGAACAGCAAAGAGCCATGTCGACCGTACGAGGCGCCATCTTAAGTGAAACTCCCAGGAGTTGTTGGTGAACCTACAACTTTGTATAATCCTCCACGGCAATACACAAATACGTTGATTGGAACTTAATAGTATGTACTTAAAGAGCACAAGGACGAATGAATAAATACAAAAATAACTGCAAGAAATTCATTTTACTAAATTTAGACCTGTTTTTACGTAAAACAGAACAGGAAAGGCTCACGCTAAGATACGAACCAGGAAGAGAGGATGTGGTCAGAGACTACTGTACACTGTAAACCCGGATTAGTTTTAGAATGCCATAAACATAACAATTTACGTTCATTAAACACAGTCTTTACTAACACTCATTAGCTCACTAGACTCACTCATAAGTTGTTTGTACTAATTAATCCGTTTTATTTTTATAAACGCAATGAACATAACAATATAAGCTCATTCGACAGTCATATATTAGTCTTAACGTCCTGAACTCTAGAACTCTCAGATTGAGAAGCAATAAAGCTTGCAACTCAATCAGAGCTTTGTTTCTGTCAAGAACTGTATGGAAGCAAAGTGACTTTTAAATAATATTAAAACACTCTCAAAGGAATTACCTGGCTAGTGTAGGGCTACTTTGGCTTGTCCCTGTCGATTACAGTTGGTAAAAATAAATACAATGATTTATTTGGTCAAATTAGTTTATTCAAAATGTTGCTCGAGTATTTTGCTTTAGGACTTGCTCCATATTCATTCTCAAAATTAATGCTCAAATGTAGAATTTTTCAGAAGTTTGTTTTTCTCTGCAATGGATTCTGGGTAGCGTCACTGCTTCGCCCAATGCATTTGTTTTCAATCAACACAATATATTTGTTTTGTCATTAATGGACCACCAGGCTTACAAAAGACATACTTGAAGTATCTTCACTTAAAGCAATAAACTCAGTATTGAACAGGGAGCTATGATAATATTATACAGTGCTTATTTGTCAACCAAAAATATAAAATAATGAAAAATGAAGTATATAGTGATTACTTTTAAGTATTTTACATCAAAGTTTGGTCTGATGCACTTACAGTGCAGGTACTTCATGTTCTATTGATTATGGAGACCCCCTTCTTCTTCCCTCCCTCATTACAATTCTTCTTCATGTGAAAATTGTGCAAAATAAAATAGTAACGGAATAGGACAGGAAGTATTCACCCTCACAGTCTCAGGTTAGAGGAACTAGCACAGCCACATTCTCCAACAAGCCACAAACGATTTGTATTTTTGATTGTTATGGTCAAAGAAGATACATTTTAAAACATTTAACTGTAAAGAGATTTGAGTGTTTAGCCATCCTTTCAGTTATACATTTTCATTTTAATAATTTGATTTTTTGTCATTCCGGTTCTAACTTAATCAGCATATCCTTTGAATCAGAGGGTTGTCAGAATATGAATTACAGAAAGGTCCAAGGCCAGGGGTACGTTAGATAAAAATGCTGGGAACCACTGCATTAGTGTTCAAAAATAAAAATACTTTTGCTTACGAGCTGTGACCAACAGATTACAAACAGGCTTTCCAGAGCAATTTACATAAAATAAGTGCATATTTTAAGCTGCCAACATCAGAACATAACTGTCGGTGACGGTGCGTGATCTGTAGAGTGAGTGATGTCATGACGTAGGCCAAATGTGGAAAATAGACCCCGGCCCTCTGAGTATTTTACCTGGTTTAGTAATCAGTGCTTATCATGGACAAGTGCTAGTGAGCACTCCAAAGAAGAGAAGATCTGATAGACTGAGGTCCATTGCATTTCATAAACATCCTCCACATCCTTTCTATTCTGTGTTTTGGATCAAATTGACAAAGGTGTTGAATTTATGAGTGGCATATGCTAAAAAAGTACATCAAATGGTGGCTTGTTGTGTGAGCCAAACATTTATTTACCGTTGGTTATGGACGCTTCTGCCTGTGATGTGCGAATTCCTGACAGTACCTCTGCTCCTGATCATGAATTCTGTCCACATCTGCATTCTCTCCCCCTTTAACAGACCTTACCCTTGAAGGTAGCCCATACTGCTCAACAGCAGCGATAAAACTTGTAAGACTGTGCAAGCTCTAATATTGCCCAGCCACATCAGGTAAGACCACTAAACGACTGAATCCATCCACCCCCACCATGACAACAAATCTCCACCTGTCAGACAATGTGAACACACACATTATTTTTGTAAGCACTTCTGATTAATGCACCGATTCTCAGCCCAACATTACCGACCTGATTAGCTTAAGGTGCCCATCTAAGTGCCAAACAAAAAAAAGAGTTTGGGGCCAGGAACAGAATCTGCCCGTCGTCTTAATACGCGCAACCTTAGACGTCTCAGGTAACTCCCTCCTGCATCGACTCTGCGTAAAGATCTTGCAGTCTGATACTGAGGGGAATGAAAATCAAAGAACATACTCTCACTGGCAGTATCCTGAGGGGGGGGGGGGGGGGGGGGGGGGGGGGGGGGGGGGGGGGGGGGGGGGGGGGGGGGGGGGGGGGGGGGGGGGGGGGGGGGGGGGGGGGGGGGGGGTGGGGGGGGGGGGGGGGGGGGGGGGGGGGGGGGGGGGGGGGGGGGGGGGGGGGGGGGGGGGGGGGGGGGGGGGGGGGGGGGGGGGGGGGGGGGGGGGGGGGGGGGGGGGGGGGGGGGGGGGGGGGGGGGGGGGGGGGGGGGGGGGGGGGGGGGGGGGGGGGGGGGGGGGGGGGGGGGGGGGGGGGGGGGGGGGGGGGGGGGGGGGGGGGGGGGGGGGGGGGGGGTGGGGGGGGGGGGGGGGGGGGGGGGGGGGGGGGGGGGGGGGGGGGGGGGGGGGGGGGGGGGGGGGGGGGGGGGGGGGGGGGGGGGGGTGTCACTTATTTTGAAGAAATAGTCGTAATTAATAATTAAAAAAACAATGCGTTGTAAAAGTACTACACTACAGCATAACCAAAAAAGTTAATTTTCAGTTTATGAAAGAGACTTAACAAATGCTAACCTAAAATTACACCATATCATTATAAATCTCTTGGAATACGCACACCTCTTGCATTCAAATGACCACGCATTAACTTGTAGCCGTCCGTTTGGATGCTTCTGTGGACTTCACTTACAATGCTGGGGGGGGGGGGTCCCCCACTCCTCATCATTCCAGCTGAATAGAGGTCTCGTCTTTCTGCCAAACAAAATACAACAATGATAAATGTTACACCAATTTTCTGTTAAACAGAATTCATAAACTGAACACTCAATTAATGTAGTGTAACATACCTCAAACCACTTTTGCCTCATGCGTCTCCTGATGGTCCTTTTGACACTCCGAACATACGCTGCAATTTGACTGTGCTCGTAATCCACAAAGAATGTGATGCTCCTGAACTGCACTGGGAATATCAAAACGCCAAACGCCCTGGTCCCTCTGTTGTGTTTAGCCTGTTGTGCCGGGACCATGAAGCTGTAAGAGACTTCATCTAAAATTTCGGTCACTCTATGCGGACCAATGCCATGGTCAGAAAGTGCAGAAATAACTCCAAGAACTTCAATAAATTCCTCCGCTTTATTCTGTATATGCTCGGGGTCTGCAGGCCCTGCTTCCAATACTCAGCCAAGGTCAAAAATACTCGCACCAAATCTCCTTGAAACTTCATGAAGACCTCCATCGCGAAGCCGCCACTTTCCAAAAAACACTTCAGACAAAGCAATGGATTAACAAGATTTGAGTAAACCAGGCTTTAGCCCGCCCACAACTTTTTGATGGGCGAGTTGAAAGATAAAATTATTTCATGAACACTGCAACAACACGGACGTCATGAAATAATATTTAAATAGATAAAATATATATATATTTTTTTACACAGATTTCATTGTAATTTTTATTAATTTAATTAATTATTGACACATATATTAATTAATGGCACATTTATTTAATAAATGACACATTTATTTAATTATTTAATGGTGCATTTTTTATTTATTTAATTCCATATTTAATTAATTAATGAATCAGATTAAATACAATGTATTGACACATGTATTTAATTATTTAATGGTGTCTTAATTTATATTAATTGTGTCACTTTCAATCTCCATACTTCTGGGGACAGGGCCTCTATATCCTCAAAGGCCGTCCTCCTTCAGTCCAGTAAAAAAATGCATAAAAGTAAAAAATAAAAACAAGGTTAAAACCATCTAAAATTCTGATCACACCATCTCAATCCTGTCAGCAACGCAAAAATATCACAGGTTTAAAAGTGTCTGTTGAGGGGGGGTGTGATCAATAAAAAGCAAGAAGGATAAAAAGGGATAAAATGTAATAAAGAATATTTGTACTAAAGGTCATTAAAAAATATTTTTTAGAGTCGCACGTCCGACCCCCACTGGCCTCCGCTCTCTCCCTGTCCTGGGACCGGCCGCAGTCGCCGCCAGCCATTCTCGCCAACCATGGTTCCACGGGCACACGCGTGGGAGAGCCGAACATCCCGTCGGCAGTGGCCTAGGCCGGGGCGCCACACGCCTTCATGCGCTTTCCAATGCGTGCTCCCTCACGGTGCCGCTCTCCCCGCTGGCTCTGTCCCCCGTGGTCTCTGGGCTGGCGGTGCTCGTCTCGTCCCTCTCTCCGTGTCCTCTCGCTCTCCGTGCTGCAGTGCCCGCCCCCAATTTTAAATAGTGCCATGATAAAAGCAGGTAATAGGGGAAGTGTACAAGGAACGGTGATTAAAAATGCATGCCGTAAAAACCAAAAAACACACCACAACAATTAAAAGCATTAAAAGTCCACTTCCTCACAGGTTTTTAGTGGTGGGGAACCGAGGAACCTACAAGACCAAAGTTCGTGGCTGAGTCACACATGGGAGTAGAGTTAAACACGAGTTTGTTCTGAGCCGCGTGCACTCAGGAATACCTTTATATTTGTGTCAGAGGCTACTGCTAATAGTTTACCTGACACTTCCCTGTTCTAACCAACCGTGAACAAGTGTCCCTCAGTTACATGTCCCTCACTAGAAGTCACATTTGTAAGTCTTGGCTTTGTTTAAATAACAGTTTAAAAAACAGATAAACCTAATATACCAAGGTTTTACATTTTACACACACACATACACATTATAGACAAAAAGTTTTGGACACACTTTCTCATTCAAGTGAGTTCCTTTCTTTTCATGACTTTTGTACTTGAGATTCACACTGAGTAAGGGGCTGTTTGCCAACAAGGAGAGTGGTGGGCTGGCCAGATGACCCGGCCTCCACAGTCACCGGACCTTAACCCAATCCAGATGTGTTTTGGGGTGAGCTGACCACCCCTGCAGTAGGGCAAAAAAGTATTTAGTCAGCCACCGATTGTGCAAGTTCTCCCACTTGAAATAATGACAGAGGTTTGTAATTTTCATCATAGGTACACTTCAACTGTGAGAGACAGAATGTGAAAAAATATCCAAGAATTCACATTGTAGGATTTTTAAAGAATGTCTTTGTAAATTATGGTGGAAAATAAGTATTTGGTCAATAACAAAAATGTAACTCAATATTTTGTAATATAACCTTTGTTGGCAATAACAGAGGTCAAACGATTACTATTAACGGCTTATTAACCGAGGTCTGTATGGAGAAATATCAGACCGCGGCCTTAATGTGCAAAAATGCCAAGGTCTGATACTTCTCTGTACAGACCTAGCAAGCGAGGTTAATAAATGTTTTATTATATGACTCTCGTCTGTGTCTTTACCAATGCTTTTGAGATATTTGTGAAGTATGTTCATGTCCGACTTGGTTTTATGTGATACGGGCTGTTCGGACCAATTGTCATGGTAACGGTCCGAGATGGGAAAATATGATTGGCAAATCAACCAATCAGAGCGCACGTACGGTCCAAGTCATATAATAAAGGTATTTACCAGGATTGCAAACACAGTAGCTGGTATTTTGGCCCATTCCTCCATGTTTCTGGGCTGTCGCCGAGCAACACGGACTTTCGACTCCCTCCACAGATTTTCAATGGGGTTGAGGTCTGGAGACTGGCTAGGCCACTCCAGGACTTTCAAATGCTTCTTACGGAGCCACTCCTTCGTTGCCCGGGCGGTGTGTTTGGGATCATTGTCATACTGGAAGACCCAGCTACGTTTCATCTTCAAAGCTCTCACTGATGGAAGGCGATTTTGGCTCAAAATCTTACGATACATGACCCCATTCATTCTTTCCTTAACACGGATCAGTCGTCCTGTCCCCTTAGCAGAAAAACAGCCCCAAAGCATGACGTTTCCACCCCTATGCTTCACAGTAGGTATGGTGTTCTTGGGATGCAACTCTTTCTCCAAACACGACGAGTTGAGTTTATACCAAACCAAATTGGGAGAATGAAATTCTCCCAATCCTCTGCGGTATCATCCATGTGCTCTCTGGCAAACTTCAGACGGGCCTGGACATGCACTGGCTTCAGCAGGGGGACACGTCTGGCACTGCAGGATTTGATTCCCTGTCGTCGTAGTGTGTTACTGATGGTAACCTTTGTTAATTTGGTCCCAGCTCTCTGCAGGTCATTCACCAGGTCCCCCCGTGTGGTTCTGGGATTTTTGATCACCGTTCTCATGATCATTTTGACCCCACGGGATGAGATCTTGCGTGGAGCCCTAGATTGAGGGAGATTATCAGTGGCCAATCTTCAGGTTACTCACCTGACTCACCTGAGGAAATGGGTGGAGTCATCTGTGCTCCTGCTCAGTTTGGAGCTGTTGGAACTAAAACTTGCACCCACATGGCCCTTTCTGGAACCGGTTTGAGACCCCTGCCCTAAGGTGTACCTGCAGGAGGCATAGACTAGAATGTACCAGTGCATGTGGGCATTGCCAAGATGGAAATTGTGACAATATGAAAAATGATCCAGTGATAGATGAGGATGAGGTGTTAAAAGTTTTGAAAAAGTACTGTGACGTAAGTGAATCAGTGTGGGTGCAACAAGGTTAATGGGGGTTGGAATACCCCTTGATGTGGTATAAGGGTTTATTTGGCATCACTGGTAACCCTTCCATGTGAAAGATTGACCCTGAAAACCTGGATAAAAATACAAATGTATTGATTTATCATGGAAAATGACTTGTAAACCGAAATAGTCATCTCCAAATTTTGACACTTTCCCATACTCCGATTTTGTCCAACTTTTAGTATTTTATAGACTAGACCCAGTCTAACATAAAACCACCAAAAGTAAGTGCAATTTTCTTGGGTCAATTAGTATATTGACCCTACTATTTGTCATAGTATTGTTTCTGTCATCTATTGCCACAAATTGATTGCCCCTACCAGTGTATGATCGTCAGGCTCTTTTGGATCTCCGACCAGCTGTTAGCTGGTAGCAGGATAGGCCATATTATACTCACCCCCACTCCTGTGTGGAGTCCCGGGTCACCTGCTCTGTGTCCTGGCGGAGGCGTCGGGGAAGGCGCAGCGGCTGCCTCGTAAAGCTAAACGCTAGTTTGGCACGCTCTTCCTCAGGATTTAATGCTGATCGTCACAATTATCATTGCGTTGCTTCATTGCGTACCCTGGATCCTATCGCCAGCTGCTTGGTTCCTCTGGTCGGCATTGACAGGGGACAGTCCCGTCGTTGCGTGCCAACACGCATCCTCCGCAGAGAGGTTAATCTCTGCAATCTGCGGTCCCTCGCCCAGGCCTCTGTGCGAGCAAATTCTCCTGCGAGCACAACGACGTCCGTGGATGTCCGGATAGCGACTGTGAACGCTTGTTCGCTGGGAAATAAGACGTTTATACTCAGAGACTTCTTCGCGTCGCGGGGACTGGATTTTATGTGACCTGGATCAATGCCGGTGAGTCCAGCGCTCTGATTAAATTTTTTTGCCTGCTTGTTGCTCCTATTTCAAAGTCCCGAGATTGACCGGTCGTGGAGGGGGGATTGCGGCCGT